GTAGCTCTTATCCATTAGGATCACTAGGAGGAGCCAGAAGAACCTGATTTTTATCACAGAATATCTTCTCTCAGGATATAGTGAACTTTTTGGAAAATATAACAGTTTTTTTATAAAATGTAGAGCCATAGAATCTGACTTACAAATCTTAGGTTGTCGCTTTTATGATCTCTTGAAGTTACTTTTTGTCTGAACACCTTAAGTTCCAGTTAATCGTTGTGGAGGGAAACTAGAGGTTAAATACTGCTTTGGTGCCTCTGCAAAAATGATCAGTTTAGCTGGTGATTGTACATCTAAGTCATAATTTAGTTTGTTTAGCATTTGTTGGTTTGTGTCAGATCCTAAATCCTAAATGTTCTTCATACACACAGTTCAAAGCCCTGCAGATCCCGGAGCCCATTGACACACAGACGAGTGCCATCAATTTACAGTCGGTAGAAGCTGTAAGTCATTTCACCAAACAAATCTGTGTATTGCCTGTATTGCAGTTTTACGTTTCTGCTGTAAAATTGGTTGATCATTTGAAAACTATTACAGTTTAACCAAAGTTGGCAATTATATGTAAATGTATATAATTACTGTGGGAACTGTAATGTGCACAAATTCAGTAGTTAAACAGTCAAATTCACCAAACATGAAAACAGACATTGTAAATCAAAGCAAAAAAAAGAGACACCACAAATGTAATGAAAGTTTTTCACATGACCGCAGCAATATGATTGGCTGTTGTCATATGTAATCATTTCACTTTTCTTTAACAGGACAAGAGTGCAACAGCCTACATCGAGGCATCTAAGGCTCGCGTTGCTGAGTATCAGAAGGAGGTGAGACAGTGGTTGCTTTAATTGATAAAACACCTCCATAAACAAAATGAAATGTGTATTTATAACCTTGCTGTTTTTTCTGTTCCCTCTCTTTTTTGTTCATTCGTGTTTGGTCTCAGTTGGATAAGTTTAACAACATGATCCCGTTCGACCAGATGACCATCGAGGACCTCAACGACACCTTCCCCGAAACCAAGTTGGACAAGGTCAAATACCCGTACTGGCCCCACAAGCCCATTGCGGATCTGTAATCCTATCACTAGACACTCTCCTCACAATAAAGATTATGTATTTTAAAAAGAATTGTTTGGTGATTTCATTATTTGGTAAATATCTGAAAAGAAATGGTGTATCTGAGTTATTTTAAAATGTGGTCCAAATACAGTGAAGGCAGCTTGGGATGTTGTAGATAGTGCCCATGAGGGGGCGGTGTTACTCTAGTTTTACTTTGAAAGGTAAGCTTGGTGGTTAAAATAGATGTGCTAACATTTTGACAAACATAATAATGTTTCAGTCTAGTTTCCTCCTGAATTTATATCTATGACCAAAGCATTAAATCAATGGTGGTGTTTAGAGCGCAGAGGTCTGGTAAATAGAATTAACACAATCACTTTATTCCCTGTGGTCAATGATTAAGCCTATATTGCATATTAGCATACAGTGTGTCATGCATAAAATATGTACTTATCTAAGCAGTGTCCCATGTCGAAGTCCGTTGAAAGGTTCAAAACTGAATCTGCATTTATAGGTTAACGCAGTATGTCAGTCACTCCTGATGTTCTCCAATCATGGATCTACTGGTAGTGTCTCACGATCATAATCACGATAATCATTGGACAGCGACTGTTTGTTTATATAGGAGTGGGTGGGACTTCGGCCCTTCGCTCCAGCTTTACATTTTGATTGGTCGAGCGTTAAAGCGTCTCGGTCGTTGGTTGGTCGAGCGTTAAAGCGTCTCGCTCGTTGATTGGTCGAGCGTTACAGCTTCTCGGTCGTTGATTGGCCAGAGTTCTGGGGGCAGTAAAACAGGAGGGGATTGATGAAAGCTAATTTCCGCTGTATGTTGTTTGACAGTCAGTGACGATTGACGGGAGTCCATCAGCTCAGGTAAAAGTCTTTAATAACCTATCAATAATTTAATGACATGCTCTCAGTGTGATATGTTTGAGCTCTCGGTCCTGTCGTTCACTGAGAGTTTTCCGTCGCACAGTAACCGGTGGATGAAAACAGGAGCTATCCGGTCAAGTGTGTCAATAACGGTGAAGCTCAGTCAGATTGCTGCCGAGGTCGAACATGGGAAACAAAAGGCAGTAGAAACCATTGTCGTTTGAACATCAATGATGTTTTGTTTGTTTATTTACGTCCACCTCCGAGGTGATGACCACAGTAAAGCGCTCTCACCGAGAGCAGCTAACGTTATCGATGTTAGCCTCTAGAGATTAGGACGCTAGAGATGATTGTCTCTGCCTGGACGGTGGAAAAGAGGTTTTCAACCACACGAATTTAGCCTAAGACCGGTAGTCATATCATCCCGAACACTTAATGTGTCTCCAAGTGGAAACCCCTGATTTTCTGCTCGTCCGAATATAAACAATAAGGCCTGGCTCTGTTTATTTAGCCACAATCACCTATAGGCTTCATGTGACTGTTAGCTAGCTAACGGTACTCCACTGCGTCAAACACCCTCTGCTCTCAATCAGACACACTTGGTCCGAGATCAGCTTTATTCAAAGGCAGTTCTACGTTTTAGTATTCTGGATTCTGTGCGTGTTTACAACACAACTAAACAATCGTGCCAAGAGATTTACGAGAGGTCAGTAAGGCAACACCTCTGTGGGTGCAAATGATGCAAAACTATTTTGGCTTGAGGGAAATATGAGCTGATGTCCTCCTCTGAGTTCACCTTGTCCAGTACTGTGTGTATGTCATGGTATTTATTTACTTATAAGCTTCCATTTGCTCAAAACTTTAAGACATGTTTCTATAAAGGTGAAATTTAACAGTTTGTCTTGACTTCTAGGGTCAAAGGTGACAGACCAGCTTGTGTCTAGTTGGTGTAAGTGAGTAGCACATTCAACCAAAGACACGTCTCTCTGTTGTTGTCTTCTTCCACTGATAAATAATAAAAATATGGATGTAGTGCAGAGCCGCAGCGTTTTGTTGTCGTTGTTTCCCATCTATACATCCTCTAAATGACGGGTTCAAACACATCGTAAGGCCTTGTTATTGTGAATCTCATTGCCTAGACTGTGTATTGTGTTAGCTGGAAACAGACATGGTTGTGTTAGTTTGGCCCAGGTCTGCCCCTGGACAGTGGAGTCAACAGTAGCTTCATTGTGCACAGAGAACAATGGGAGTAGGCCTGTGTGGAGGGAGGCACTGGTAAGAGGCTAGAGATGGGCTACTGTCTCATCCCCAGGGCAGATCAGGCCTGTGCTTTTCTTACAGTGTTATTACCGCACGACGAGCCAATGTCGAGACAGAGAGAGGCAATGTGAAGCAAAGTGTCATGTGTAGCAACAGGTTTAGGAAAACTTTCTTAACGCGTATGATGTAAGTTCTGTTACAAAGGAGGCTGCGATAGAGACAGAGTAAGAGCTCTTTTACAGCACTGGGGTCAACAATATCTGTCACAAAAATCCACGAGCAAAGCTCAATTTTACAACGGGGAATTTTCCGAATAGAAGAGAACTTGCAAATTATGACTGGCTTTCTGCCAAAAAACAATAAATAATGATCCAACTGCAGCTAACGTTTGGCTGGTGTTGATTTACCACTCTTGGGTGTCAAACATACATTTCCATTAACTAACTCTAAATCATTTACATGTAGCATTATGAAATATTCTCATATTTCAAACAGTTCTTGTTTCTGTCTCTCTTATAACATGTGAATAAATATAAATATTGGAGGATTAAATGTAGTTTTTAATGTTATAAATAGATGCTGCACGCAGAATAGTCAACATTTAATGCTGAAGATTCAGAGATTATTGCTTAGAAACTGTCTCTCGCACCAGCATCCTGTTCTGTGGTTTGTTTGTGACTCACTTGCTTCATGTAACATGACACTCCATCCTCAACCTTTCACTGATTGAATTTCATCAATGCAGCACTTCGGCCACCCTCTCTGAGCCACTAATGTTAAGCCAGAAATACATCAGACAACAGATGCAGCTGATGCCAGCCTGTGTTGTTGCTTCATACATAGACCGCACAATATTGGGACAGTGCCGGTGTCATCGGTAGATATGCATATGATATCAGTATATAGTAATTGTTGTTAATAACCAATCTCAGTTTAGAGCTGAGCTATTTTTACATGACATAGTAAACACAGATGTTACCAGTGAGACTAATAAAGGCTCCGTTCCATTCAGCTCAAACAGAGTCAGGGTGTTGGCTCACTGGAAAGGCTCTGCTACACTAAATGGAACAGAGCCTTAAGTACTAACATTGACTTGCCTGTGATTACCTTACTATTTAATGTAAAAATGGCTGCTGTGTAAAAGGTGTATGAATTGATAAGTAGATCAGACAATTAATGAAAACTATTTTGATAATTCATAAATTGTTTGAGTAATTTATCAGCGATCTTTTATAGAATAAACAGTTAACCATTAAGTATTTTTAATTTGCCCATTATTGAAGAAGCTGGAACTAGATCTTTTTTTGTGACAGTTTGACAAAAAAGTAAAAAAAGACGATTATTTTTCTGTCAATCAATTAACAGTCTTTATTATTAGTTGCAGATCCTTCAGATTGGTGATTAAAAAGCAAGTTTCGCTAGAGAAGGATAATTGATGATCAGTGCATCACAAATGTCGTCAGACCAAATTAGGTTTTTTCCTTTCACTATGCAGTATTCACATCCATTTCATCTTTTGATGAATACTTTACAGAACAGCCTATATGCAGTCTTTTTTTATAGCTGTGATAATGTCTTTTTTTTTCTTCTGGTCTTGAAGCCTACTTTGCATGCCCTCAGCAAACATAGAGTCTGTGTTGTTAGCCAGCTTGTTTTCCCTCCAGTCTCAGTTTCTGCTGGAGTTGTCAGAGTAGGAGTGGATAATCAGTGAGCCTCTGCAGTCTAAGCTAGCATAGCTGTTTATTTGTCCATAGACGTTGAATGCAGCTTGTTGTCCCAGCCATAGTCCATACGTCAGCTGAATCAGTCCGTACTGGCAGATGTGGGCAGGGAGGTGGTATGTAGCCGGCCTGGATGAACTTTAGGAATTATTGCTCCAGTGCAGTAACTCAGTGAACAGCATCAGAGTTATATTGGGCTACTCCCAGTAAACATGCGTGGTATTATGACTGTAAGAAGGGGCAACCGGGGTAAAATATATGCCTGTTGTTCTTTCAGTGTTTAGATGAAGAAAGGGAATGAAAATTGGCCGTACAATGTATTAAACTAAGCAAATGGTAGTTTTGGTCCTTTCAAAAATAAACATCTAGGTTCTCTACAGTTGAAAACCTGTCCATCACTACTGCAATTATTAATATTTTATTATTATTATTATTATTATTATTATTAATAATAATAATAGTAATAATAATAATAATAATAATAAATAATAATAATTATTATTATTATTATTATTTTTTAT